ATGAGTAAATTGAGTTGGAGAAACGTCTCACGGAAACAACCAGAATGTCTAGTCGCTGTTCGTAACGTGCCCCATTGCACCCCCCCCCCCCCTAATTTACCATAACTGGATTTGTGAGGATCAACGGAAATATATCATTAGACAAACTTTATCTAACCCCATTCATAAGTTCAAGGTTAATTGACGTCATCATACAATCTCTTTCCAGCTGTTATATTCTTTATTATTTTGCAAATTGAGTTAATACTGAAGTTTCACCACGTGGGAGAACGGAACGTCTAAGGAATATTTATTAATATATTTTGATTTATCAGGAACTGGTAATTGCCAAGCTATGTGTACTATAGTGATGCACGTATTTCTTCTAGTAATCTACGAAATTACTCGATTCTCAGAATTGTCCAACGCCGGTTGAATATGGTAATAAATTACTCGACGCTAATGGCGTTGAATTTCTGACGTTAATTTATGCTTCGGGCGTTATTTATGCTTCAGTTATGTGTTAACAACGCGAACCTTTGTCTTTTTATGATGCTGAGGCCATATATCAACAGCTTTTGAGCAATGTGGTCTTCTAGCAAATTGGGTGGCATCCGACTTCTTGCGCAGATACGATGCCCCGCAAGTATATATCTGTTTAATGCGATACAAAATACCACAAAATTTACTAAAATTTAGAAAGTTGTCAAACGCATAGCTTCTTTATGACACGACCCTACAATAAGATCGTATGGTATATTCCAGGATTCTGTATGTTACCAAAACATCTTTTTATCTCATACCTCCACCATGTAGGTGGGTTGCTCGCTGGATTGAATCGTCTTTACCAATAGTTTTATTTTTAGAGATTACGCCCATCATTGGTGAAATTTGATTCCGGCGCGCAGAAAAATATTTTGATTTTTGCTTTTGAGCAATGCACACTCATAACTGAGCATCCGTGCCCGATCCATTAGCGTCTGCATTAGACTGTGTCGCATTTGTTCCATGATCTTACTAGCCAGTTATTGTGTTTCGTCTCGTTTCTGACTTAATTAGTCAATCGGTTCCTAAAATTATTAGAAAGAAATATGATATTTTTGTTTGCACTTTAGCATAGCGAACGTGAACACGATATTTAGTATAATTAAACGGGTTAACTCGGCGAATTTGGAATTCCATCGCGTTTTATTTATTACAAAATATTAATTGTCGATAGTTGTGACAATGTGCTTCTTAGACGATTAAAAAAAAACACTCACCTCACAGTCACAGCCTGCCACTGAACTGCCAATTTGTTCAACATTCTTGTTATATTTGAAAATATCAGAATATAAATATAAAAATATTGAAATCGATTCTGCTTTTGATAAGTAGCATATTTTAATGGGATATTGGATAATTTGAAACTTATAATAGATACCAGACATCATTTTATTTACAGTGCTTCCTCTGTAAGTATTTCTGAGGTCTGCTCAATCAAATAGGTACAGGGCCATACTGACTGTCTCTTCGCAGACAACACACCGCAACAATGAAGGTCGACAGTTTATGGCGTCTGGCCTAAATTAGCGTCGATAAGCTCTGTCGTGTAACCACCCAAAACAAATTTAACTACGTTGAATTGATTTTTTTTTAGTTACTTTAAAGTTTGAGGGGTCAAAGTTCTACAGCCATTAACATTTTTAGACTTGCATTTCAACTTTGGCATTGGAGGAAACCGCCGAGAATAATTATAGACATTTCAAAACCGATATCTGTTATATAAAAGATCTTTCGGATCTTTTTTACCCTAATTGAGTGAAATCGGAAAATAGTATGAGTAAGTCGAAACCCAAGGTGTCGGTACTGTTGCAAGAATAAGGTTGCGAACCATTTCGCTCGAACGTATCGGAGTGGTTTTTGACATAAATATATGGTGTAAACATATTTACTGCGGGATCGAATTGCATTATGGGCATGGGTACAGTGCTATGAAGTGTTTGCGTGTCATTCTACAATGTCACGTAGGGGAATGACGCAAATTGTGTAGTATGACGTAAAAAAAACAGCAGGATGTACCTGTGTGAAATTGATGTTTGCAGTGTCGATTTATTGAAATGATCACAGAATCATTGTTTTTTTTTTATTTCTAACGTAGGTTTTATCTATAAACACCTAGTTCTTACCGCTGACATGTATATTTTGTAAGACGTAATATATAACCAATATTCCAGGTCGATTGCACCTTAACGTAAACGAAATTAACACAAATAAGTGTCTCTGATTTTAGGCTCAATGAGGACTGTCAGTACTTTTATTCCTATTATTCCATACAAGCTCCAGATACATCTGAAATAGTAAGAAAAGGTCAGTTGCTATTAAGGGAATGATATATATATATATCTTCAAAGATCGGTATACCTTTCGGGAGTTTTTTAGATTGGTTTCTTATGACGATATAAATATTTCATGAACCTCACCTAAATCAAACGACAATATTGACGCCTTACGACCTATACATGCATGAGTGTATTGTTGACGAGCGAATTTGTAGGAGAATCAATTCTTTCTAGGGCGACATAACAGCAGAAGACATGCTGGGTGCGTATAACTATACCAATACAAAACGAATTTACTTTCTTTTATTGATCACTGACCTGACTATATTTTGACAAATTATGGAATAGTATGCTATATTGTACTAATAAGAAATTGAAATCGAATATATAAGTGAAATCCATGTTAGAATTTTTACCTGAATACCCATTGAATATAAAAACTAATTATTACAAACTAGGAGCGTTACATTTTGTGTTATGAATGCTGTTCCATTAAAGACTATAAATATGTTGGCTAGACTATATTCTGTCACACTATCGAAAATATTATTATAGTGCGTTATTATAATGTGTGCGTTGAATATTTAGTTGCATTTTTAAGTGCAATAAATAAAATATCAAACATAAGTAAATTGAATAATATATTTCCTAAAAGTTTCGAGAGTTTCTTGAGCCGTTGGATGGATTGTATTGACGAGTTTGAGCAATTTATAATTATATGTTTCACAAAACGTATCCGTTAGCATTCCGAATCGCCAATTTTTAAGAAGAAATATAGGTTTATCAAGTGAGAAATTGATCACAAATAAATGGAGGCTTGCGTTTGTTATACGCGGTGGCAGCGAGGTCGTCGATAAAATGACATTGAAAAAAAAAATCAGAGAGAGATTTGCGTCTGGTCTCTAGTCACGGTCGGTTGAACATATAATAAACTGCGATAATTCTCTCATATTGACACATCGACCCTAATTCCACGAATGGAATATTTTGTTCTCGGATTAAACTCGATCAGGAAATGATTAAACGAAAGCTAAAGCTGGAACAAGTAGCAGGCTAACTATCGCGCCATGATCATTATATTTATGCTGTTGTATGAAGACCGAAAATAAATTGTTATGATATTACGGGTTTAGAATATAATAATGTACTAATATGCGTAACTATATCACTATATTTATGTACCATGTATTTGTGAAAAATAAATCTTACAGATAAAAATAAAAACATACAGATGTTTAGAATATATAGAAACTAATATGTTTGCATAATTTTGATTTGATGAAAAATTCTTCAAACTAATGTTGAATACCAATTTTCGAATATCTATTGAGCATTGATTGATTCATACTATTATCATTTTTGATTTGGGCGTATATGCATGCTTAAATTGCTCTAACCACCATGACGCTTCTTGTAACGCCATTAGTTTTCATTTTTACATTACAAACTTTTGAACTACGAGTAATTTTGCTTCCGTTCTCCTAAATATGATGACGCATTTGTGTGGTTTGGTGAAAAGATTTCACGAAAAACGCGCGCTCAAACCCAATACTTGTAGTTGATGCATGGATTAACTAGGAGTAATATTTGAAACACCAAACTATATTCTCTTCCTGTCTCTGTCTTATGCATTGACATAATATATATTTTCCGGTGGTTATATATTACACTCGGTGCCGCTACTGTACAAAATATGACGCAATTTTGTGATGGTAGTTTTTGTTTTACAAATATTGTACAATATATGGAAGTTCGCACTCTTTATGATTTGGAATATTTTATTTATTATTCACGTTGTACGCTATGCAAATTGGGACATTAACATATTTTGTAAGAGGGAAATATCGACGCGCTGTCGCCATAGTTAAATCCCATTCGCGCGAGGGCTCTATTCCCCCGGGCTACCACAATTGATAATTTATAATCCACTGCTACTGTAGTCAGTAAGTGGGGTTTTGACAAGCATAGAAATTAGATAACTATCCCAATCAATGTGTGGCCATGTTTGATTTTCATTTAAATACTCTAGTTGTCACATTTTCAGTTGCAGTCAGTTTTGAAAAGACAGAAGCGAAAACCGAAGTCGTATCGTTTACGTCGATGATTTCCTTTTTTCACGTCACTCTCGCCTTTCCGTTTACCCGGCTCGCTCACTCTCTCTCGATATCATCGAGTTTTAGTACCTTACGTTCGATGACTTGTATTTTCTTTTGTGCTCTATAAATCTGTACGCGCGACTAGTCACTTGCTGTCTAATAAGACGCGGTTTAACAATAAACAAAGAGTCGATGTAGTGTCTACAAGAAACAAGCTGTCCTAATATCAGTTAGTCGGACGACTCGCCGGGCGCGCGCGTTATTCCGTGACAACCGCGTCGCCGTTTCGCCGCTGATCGCTTGCCATCTGCACTTAGAGAATGTTTGTACACTTACAGCAGCAATAAAGTGATAAGTTTTATTATACAGCATTAAATGACCACAGTTTGATTACTGTATGGGCTACTTTTGAGCAAGCAGACTATTACAGCTCGATATGTTTATATACCGCTAATTAATTTATTATTAATGAGACAGTTCTTAGATTTTGAATATGTATTTGATTTTTGAACAGAAATTTATAGCATATAAGTGTTATTAGATTTTACTACTTTCTGTATTATAAAAAATGCATGAATCACCAGCTGGCAACTGTTCAATGAAAATGGACTTAATTTTAGATTTATTTTCAATGGGTTCTAAGCAGTATCTAAGCTCAGATTCTCATCATTTTCATTCAAGTTAACAGAGCTTTTGATTCATTATCTGAATTCATTTTCTACTCCTGTTTTGATTAATAGTATTAAAGCCATGCTTTATAAACATGATACATTTCATTGTTAAACCAAGAAGAATTATTTGACTTCTGTCATTGGTCTTATGTCTGTATGTATTTATAGAACTTATCGCTGTATTCCTATTGTTGTAACGTTACAACATATCATCTCAGTGAAGGCCCGACTGGACTGTAATCATTGTTCTACTTGAACGACTCTCCACGGGATTAAGTGTCGACGAGAATTAATTCGTATGCATGGGAAGCTTTCTGTGGAAAAATGGGATAGCTAACTAGCGCTGAATGCCTTCTATTGTTACGGAATCACACAATGCTAATTCTGTAGTGACGTAGCGAACAAACAAGATAAAAGGACATATAATAACATTTTACAAGTCGAGTGATTTAATGATATCATCTGTAGTGGTTCTTTGATTAATTACCACGTGTGGAGAATTTAAAAGGAAAAATACTTCTACAAAAGAGAACTATGGCCCACATGGGCGGCCCTAACGCAATGTCAAATGGCGGAATGACACAAGTCGCCAATGCCGAAGTTGAACGTCACATCCGACAAAACAACGAAAGACTTAGGTGTATTCAGCAGGTATGATTGTTTCAGTTAGTTAGTGTCATTCAATTTTTATATATTATTATGATCATACATATATGGGTAAATGCAATTAAAGTTAATGTATTAGCGTAATTTATTCGCCATCAGTTCCGGTTTTGGTACAGGTACGTATTTGAGCCCCAGACATTCAGGAGTTAAGGGTTTGTACTGGTGTAGCAGAAGAATCGACTTAGTGGTGTATATGGTATTTATTTGAAATATATTGTTTTTATTTGAACTATTTATGTAGTAACAAACCTAGTGTATACCTACATCAATCAGTACATCGATAAATCACGCTTGAGTGTGATAACAGAGGACTACAAAAGTATTTTCATCGCTTGCAATTTCGAACTCGCGGTTGTACCGAGAGCGATCGTAATTTTTCTAGACAGGACGAAGTCGTCGTCAAAGTATAACTTGCTGTCCTTGAAATTTCAGCATTTACAAACGCCTGAAGGTTTCGATAAAGCCGCTAAAGAATTGCTGGAATGGTGTTCTGATCAGAGAGCATTTCAAAAAGCATTTGAACAGAGTCTGATGAGCTGTCTAACGGTACGTTCATTTTTTTCATAAAAAGTTTTCCTTCCTCTTATGCCGAAATTCGAAATTTGCTTTGCCGATAAGTACAATGTAATGAGCTTATTTTTCGAGTTACGTTGTTTTTTTGTGTAACGGTGACTTTGTCCGGTGTCATCAAAACGATAATGACATCATTTGTCTGATTGATAAAAGAAACTGGAGATTTTTGTCGTATCTTTTTTTATAAAATACCCAACAACGATTGTGAGTTTCGGTATGAAGCATGATGTTCTATTAGTAAAAACAGGTGGTTTTTCCCCCTCAAATCATATAAGTCCCCATTTCTATTTAAAAAATCAAGGAACGTTTTTGTTCATCGTGCATATTTATTTTGAGAACTTGAATGTTTCTCTTTGTATACAATGCGTAAGACCCGCATAACTCTGTTAATATTTTTGTACGTATCGTATTACGTCATATTTGAGAAATTCACCTGCTTTGAGTCTCGGCGTACCAAGTAGCCACGATTTTTTTGTGAGAGGGAATATTAGATTGGTATATTTCAGGCAGTTTCGCAATTTGGATCGCTTTACTAAACCAACATACGTCAATTCGCATCTGGCTGAAATAATTAATTTTAGGAGCACTTGAAATTAATATTTGCAATATTCAGTATATCTGTCTTTATCACATCACAATAAAACCATTCAAGGATTTCACAACACACAAATCTAATGCCTTGTGTTTATTTATAGATATAAAACCTATTTCTGATTTTAAATCATACGTATTTTTAACTCATAGCCCACGCCATGCACCATGTTCTCTTATACATAACAATGCTTTATTTAAATACTACGCACTTTTTACTACCAAAAAGCAAGCGTGGAGTCCATGGGTTTACAATATTTACCAAACTGCAATATACATCGATTTTACAACGTGCACATATCAGTGTCTACGCGCCGTAATGACGTCATCATAAACATGACAAATGATTCCGAAGGAAGTAAACAGTGTGTGTGTTATCATGGAGTAAGAGTTGGCGTAGTTCGGAGATAGTAGGAGTGTAATTTTTGAGGTACATTATCAAGTTATCAAATACTTTCAGCTAAAATTTGCTACGTAGTACATAGCAAGATATGTAATTGTTGAGTGGGTTACGGTTTTCGAAACAATCCAAAACCGTATTCGGCGATTCGAAAAACATATCCTGTATCAAATATATATCTTGCAAATTAACTTAATAAGAACGATTAATAAGAAAATAAGAACGATTTTGTGCCATCACAACAATTTCAAAACTGTCGATGTCCTGCGGAGTTGCCAATCTGTTTGTTTGAATCGTGTGTTCTGCTGTTGTTTTTCTCAAGAATGAGTACAAAGGTACTGCGAATATTTGGTGACGAAGGAGGGATGACTGTATTGGATATTAATAAAAAATGTTGTTATGGCAATTAGGCCACTCGTAAATTCCACAGCCTACTCAGTCAGTGAAAGCAAATAACCAAGGATTTTTAACAATGTTGGAAATTTAAATATTCATTCGTTTAATCACGTATGTAAAAGATATTTTACACCTGGTACATTTTCACCTGATTTCTTTATTTATTTAGCCCTCACAGTAAAATTATTGAAAAAACCTTTAACGTTGGATAGTGTTTATGATATTCTTTAATAAAATATAACTTCCCACAAAATTTGGGGTTAGGCCATAATTTCAGGTACAAATACTATGGGATTCGCTTGGCTAGTCCCCGAACTCGTAATAGAACTAAAATGAAGAAAATTTGAATAAAATTATGGCCTAACCCTAACCTGATACACATACTACGTTCCGGTGTCCGCCATCTTGGTTCACATACTTCGGGAGTACCCAAAATTTTATTTACTCATAGCCCACGCAATAATTTCAAAATTATCGGTTTATGAGAAAATAATATCAGTTACATAAAAATAGCATTCAGAGCGATTAAAGTGTATTGTTAGTTATCGAGTGACACTATATTTAGAACGGTCAGCCGCTCTGATATTCGGGTCAAGTCAAAACGCCTGATTTGTTGTTTTATGGTAATCCGAATTTATATTTGTCATCGCTGTGAAAATTATCTTCAAAATATATTAGTTTTTCACAGTTATTTGAATAATTAGTTACACAATCATGGTGACGGGTAGACCTAGGTTGGTTATTGTGTGAAAGACGATCATCGTTGTCCAAATTAGACGAAATATCATTACGTTATAGTTATCTTACGTTATTTAGTATATCAATGAGAACGACAGTTAGCAGTATCAGTGTTTTGTAAATAAATTTTAAACATCGAACACTAATTATAAAATTTTGTTCACTACATTCAATAAAATTATACTTCAGTTTCTTGTATTTATGTATTACATGGGTCAACAGAATTCGAATACACATAAAGGACAGTTTATGTCACTCATGTCCCTCATCTCAATTCCCATTTATGCACATTATGTTAGTGCAAGTCAAGTTGAGCGTGAAGTTATCGTCTGGATTGTCGTTCAAATCAGTGCCAACACTTGTTGTATCGTTTATTATTCTCATTTCTTTGTACTAATATCGTCACGCAAGTGAATTAGGCCCTTTACTCATAAAATATTAACGCCGAAGACAAGGGAAATAAAAGAAGTCGGTTTTGTGGTTTTACTATTGTTATGTAAGCCCGAGTATGGCAAGTGAAAAAGGCGCGATTTCTAACATGTTTTATCACGAGTTTTGTATGGTCAGAGGTAACTAATGATGAAGTTTTGGGAGAACAGAATCTAGTTGTCCTAGCTCTCTCTACCACAGAATCGATATAATGTGTCTTGCTTACTCCGTCGTCGCAAACTCTTGCCATCCAACTAATGCCATTTGCAAAGCAGCACATCGAACACACATACGGTGATAGACAATAGTCTTTACAAACATGTATTCCGCTGATCGATAAAATTGCGAAGGAATAGCGATACTATTCATTGTTTAATGTTACCATGTATAAAAATTATTTTAATCATATTTTTCATGTGTGATTCGGAACACTTATTCGTTTATGCGGGTTTTATGAACATGCTGGTAGTTATATTGATACCCCAGAACTATACCTGCAAAACTCGGATATCTGCGATTTTGTAGACTTTCAATTTGTTATGTTATAGTTGTTGGGACAACGTCGAACCATTGCGACTTCAAATCATATACGTGACAAACAAAAAATAAATATCAATGAATATAGCAGGATTGGCTTATAACTTGACTTTGGTCAAAATTACGGGTATATATATGGATTTTAGAATTAGATGATACTAAAATGGTGGGTATAGTGCGGATTCACACATTGTTGGAAGGCGAATCAAATTATAATGTGGCATTGCTTGTTTGTTGAGCTATGATGTCGGGACGCGAATATTTATTTTTCAATATAACATATGGATTTTAATTCTATATTGGTAAATGGTTAACAAAGTTGAATGATGTACCATACCCATATAATTGAAACTTGTTAATTATAGGTACATCTAAGAATACAAACTTTAAGAATTCTTTGTGATTATTGAAATAAAAAACTTGCACCTCGTAAAAGGTCGATTTTCTTTGTGTGAAAGATGTAGTATTTTTGGGGGGTAGGGTACAACTCCAGTGATTGCACAAATTCTTGACCCTTGTGGATTTTTCTAGCAAAATCGTTGGCATCTAACTTATATATATATGTCAAGACAGAATATTGCGTATTTTTAGATTTAATTTTATCATTTGGCATTCAAGGTCAAATCGCGCGGCATGGCTAAAGCAACAAGGGGCGCGTAGATGCACAAAATTAGACGTCTCAGCTAACCGCAGACGGACCCAACGCGCGTCGATTTTTTGTTACCGGCAATCGACCGTGTCGCTGGTATCAGAATGCTATATACACATTCATTACAGATATTTAAAGTTAAGATTGATCGGCCATATTCCGTCGCTATTTATTCGTTCGCCATGTACGTACTAACGTGAACTGAAAGATCAGAATACGTATACGGTCGTCATTTTTTCTATTACGACACATTGTTGATTTTGCGGATGTCTTCTCAACTGTAGCGTTAAAAGCCTTATACGTTAAGTATGTTATCACCCAAAACTTTAAAGTTGACGACAAAGAGCCTACTTTATTGAGCAGTTTTATTTGATAATGATATAGTTTCTTACGACGAAAAAATAACGAAAAAAACCATCGAAATGTTGTGAAATATCGAATATTTGCTAATATTATTTGAAAATGATTGGAGTCAAGTATGAGATAAGAGTTCATAGCTGATTAGTACGATTGAACAAACTCAAATATTCTGATAATCAAGTTTGGAATCGGTTCCACTATAACAGAGCACAGGTGTAACTCCGATACGAAATAAAAATGGATCGGGGTAATATTAACTTTACATGATATCAAATGGACCTGATGGATCACTCATATTGCAAATAAAAATCACATTTATCGAGATTGATAGTTTAAAAATCCTATTATTCACTGATATATCATCATAATATACATATTGTTTGCATTCTTTCCATTTACACTTCAATTTTCTAATTTACGACAGTATTTGAAATTTTGATTTTGTCATTTTGTAATAATAATACAAACTTGAATACACTATTTTGTATGCAGGAATCAAATTTGGACTTAATTGGGTCTTCAGTCTAGCTGAACAAACATTTTTTCTAACCCCTTCTCGACTATGTGAATCCTTGAAGGCAGAATTATATACAGTAGAGCAAATAACGCCTGTAAATCAATGGCCAGTAGGAGCCGTGTTGAGCAGTTGTCATTCATTCATAGGTTAAGAAATGTGGTCGATGTTTTGCGCGAATGCTATTTTCAATGAAAATTGATCGATTTCCTTTCAAAACTAAACAAAACTTGACAGATGTAAGAAATATTACGTAAAATAGTAGTTTTGCAGGGAAATCGTTTGGCGATAAACATTGATAATACTCGAATAACTGAATTACTGAAATAACTGAAAAAAAAAGATAAAACTAATGTAAT